TTTTTTAGAAAATTTAAATTTGGGCAAAATAAATAAGGCAATCATATCTAAAATATGCATATTTTTTAAAGTTTTAATTTCTTCCAGTTTCCGAGAAAAAAAATCAAAGGGCTTTAAATTTTGAAATATCATAATGAAAATAAACGCATTCCTCAACAGCAGTATTCTTAATATAATCCCCAAATTTAAGCTCTTAATATCTTGTTAATGATTTTTTAAAATTCGCCGAAATTAGTGGCTAAAACGCCTCGTTAAGTGCTTCTTTCTAGTGTAACGCGTCTGCAACTATCGTATCGTACACTCTGAGTCATCATTCGTTTCTTGCAACGATTTACACCAGTTTAAACCAGAAAATAGCACTTAACAAGGCGTTTTAGCCACTAATTTCGTCGAATTTTAAAAAATCATTACCTAACAAATGATTAACAATAATAAAAGACCCCGCACTTTTGATTTTGGGTACTGGCAAAATTTGTTCAAATTTTAGTATGTTATTTTTCAGGTCATTAGGGGAAACTTTCTTATGGACCTCAAGTAGGCAGCTCTATAGGGTGAGTTGTTACAACGATTCAAAAGTAAAAAGTGCAGAATTAATATTTTCAAATATATCTCCACCACTCTTTAGTATTTCTTGTCTTTTCCATAAAACTTATGTCATTTGTTACCCTTGTATATAGTTTGTTAATGCTTACTTACACTTTGCAAAATAAATTATACAGCGTGTTCAAAAAATTAGGAATATCAGTTACTGAAATATGGTACATTTTACATGTATTACCATAGTTAAAATATAACTTCTGGCCATTTCTTTATTTCATTTCAAAGATAATTTTTATAAGTAATACAGGGTGTGATAAAACTACACAAACAACTAAGAATTACAAAAACGCATTTAACGAAAAATTGGTATACCTAAAATATTAATATAATAATATATAAAGTTATATATGAAAATATTAATTCTGCACTCCTTACTTTTGACTCCTTCTGTCAGCTCACCCTGTAGAGCTGCAAACTTGATGTCCATAAGAAAGTTGTCCATTATGACCTGAAGAGTAACATACTAAAATTTTAACAAATTCTGTCAGTACCCAAAATCAATGTAAAAAGTGCGGGGTCCTTTAGGGATTATATTGAGAATAGTGCTGTTGAGGAATGCATTTATTTTCATTATGATATTTCAAAATTTAAAGCCCTTTGATTTTTTTTCTCGGAAACTGGAAGTAATTAATTGCCTAATATATTTTGCAAAAATTTTAATTTTTAAAAAAAATTACTTTTTGAGATATCCTTGTCCGAAAATTATAAGGGAGTGCTGTAATCACCTTAAGAAAAATGAATATTATTAGTTTTATTTTCTATTTGGATAGTATGTCTGTTTTTCAATTTTTCGTTTTTTATTAATGCCCTGACAGTTCTCTTGTTCCAAACCATTCTATTTCTACATTTTTGGAAATCAGTCATAAATCTAGCAACATAGGATGTAATAAAAACACAAATTATATTTTGACATAACTACTTTCTTCAAAATTAATTATTGAATTATTAACTTCCATTTTCGAACTCTCCTGAATAAAGTGGGTTACATTATTTTGATAATTTAACTAACTAATTGTAGGCTCATCGACACACAAAACATCATACTCATCCTCTCCAGTATTTAAGGAACCTAAAACAGACTCGCTTCTCTCCTCAAACAAAGCTACAGCATGTATATGTTTACACACTACTCTTTCTTCAGCATTCTCTGGACACTGACATTGATATATCTATGTATTTATGTAAACATATTTTACATTTATTACAATACCCAGTACGACATTGTATATCACATTCTTCATTACAAGGCACTACATAATATTTATTACTCACTGAAGATTGCACTTTGAATTTTCCAAATTCTAAAACGTCTACCTTATCATTCATATTTGATATGTATTGATAATAAATTGTTTGCATTTGGCCTTTCAGCATTAGTTATCCTTTTCCAAATCTTCTCATCTACAAGTTCATCCAACAAATCCAGCAACTTTTCAACTCTAAAAATTTGAATTACATTTTTATTTTATTATATCAACATTTTTCATTACACATTTTGTCTAATTGATAAAAGTATTTTTACCTAAGATTACGTCGTCCACTCATTTTGTTATATTTTAATACTTTATTTAAACTTTCAATAGCCATATTTGTATTTATTCCTACATTAATTCTGTAACAATGGGTCCATGTCATGATCCTTTCTTCACTCTGGAAATAGTAGCTAAAAACAAATATCACTGGTTGATTTAATTTTTTTTTATACAGCCTATATTCTTTACTTTTGCAAGTATTTAAAAAAATCATTTTCATCCTCCTCTTACGAATGCCTGAAGTAGTTTTCCTTTAACATCATAAAATTTGTAATATCAGTTTCTTTTAATATTGTTTTCATTTCTTGTCTATTTTCTGCCTTCAAAGTTTTGCTTTACCTTCCAATTCTTGATTATATGCCATGAACAAAGAAGTCTCCTGGGTTTTTCATAGGAATTCATAACCTTGATCCATGCATTATAGTATTTTGGGTCATCACTCATTATCTCCCCCAGTCTTGATTGAAGTGCCCAAAAAAAATTTCTTAAATTGTTTGATCTAACCTGTTTGAAAGTAAAAATGCCACTGGGAATCCTATATTATTCTCATCCTTAATAAGAAGTATTGTAAGATCCAAATTTCTTCGGTTTGTTCCATGTGTTCCATCAGTACAAATGGTCCTTTTAAAGTCTCTTTCTTTTCCATAACACCATTCATATAACCCACAGCAAAATCTTCATCCTTTAATCCAGGGTAACTTTCACCTGAAAATATCTATACCTGCACCATCTAAACCTTAACCCTATAAAAATTGCATATTTTTAAATGTATTTTTATGTACATGCCAATTCTTTTGAATAAAAATGCTTGGTTTTTTCCTTGTCTGTTCCATTCTTCAATTTTCAAAGTGTAGTAGCTGTCATATCATCAGCGTCCCTTTTTTGTCAATATTATACTTCCTTATTAAATATGCTAAGTCTCCTCTCGTTATCAAGTTTATTCTTTCTATTGTATTATTTTGAATTTTTCTGGCATCCTGAATTATCCTGTTGTTTGTCCACTGCTGCAGTTAATTGTCCAACTACAATATTTTCTTCAGCCTTTGACAGTGTTCGAGAATGGATTTATTTTCTTTATTAATTTCTTAATATAAATTCGCGTTATCTATTTTGACACTTTGCCCCACCTAAACGGTTCATGCTTTGGACCTTTTCGAAGAACCAAGAGATATCGATGTATCGCAAAAGCAGTAACAAGTTCGTTCGCCGTCGCTTAATATTTGTGCCTTTGCTTTATGTGTGCCGCTCGCCGATCAGTCCAATATTCCAAAAGGTAAGGTGTCAAATACGTTATTAATTTATTTAGTTTGATTATTTGAATTAGCCCTTTTTTGGCAGCATAACATCCGTTCTGTTTCAGACAGTCTGTTTGTTCTTAGCTCATCTGTATTGTCCGACATGAGTTTCAAGAAATTTTACTTGAACTGATCCTAATAAAAAATATTAATAAAATTAACAATATTAAAATTATTAAATGAATACTACTAATTACCATATGTTAATACTTTCACTAGAATTCTTGAGGGGCACGTTCCTCGGATGCGAATACTTCCTCCAGATTTTATATTTCGTACTTTACATGAGCCACTAAATACTAAAAATAAATTTATGAAAAACACATGTTTAACAAGTAAAATTTGATACAACCTTTGAAATCACTTCTATTACAATTGTAAAATAAGCGTTCTTCATCATTTTTACTTTCCTATCTGTATACATTGTACATTGTAGTGCCGCGAAGCGTTCCGTTTATAATTAAATTTTTGAAGTTTTTCATTGTTAAAACGATGTAGAATGTGTATACAGGAAAGAGGAGGTCATTTTGAACACCCGTTAATTAAATTATTGTATTTTGATATTAATAGTTAATACTAAGAGACAAAAACGTTTGAAAATGGATGTTAAATCCCAGTGGCGTTCCATTTTCTACTAAATTTTATACCACAACAAAGTTAGGTGGTGAGAAGGGCGACGACCCCCTCTAAAAACCTACAAAAATCGAGAGAAAAAGATTGCCTCTATTTCGGGTTTATTAGTCATTGTTAGAATAAACATTTCATATAAATTTTCATGAAAAAAACGTTAAACGGTTTAAGAGCAACGTTAAAAAAATGTATTTAAATTTATAACTTAAACACCCTGTAACTTTTTGTGTATGCAATTTTGTACATAGGTCTAATCGACCTATTTTTGACCCAAGAACATGTGGTATAATTTATTATCAATCTTTTTGATACACCCGGTATTTCTAGTCTTTTATATTCCCACTTTTTTTTATATCTATTGTGTAAATAGTTAAAATGAACATATACTTTTTTTTGTATCTCGGAGTTTTTTCTTTTTTCGGTGTGTTTATTTCTGTTCTTATTTTATAAATGTAAATATTTTTCTATGTATTATTTTTTCTCTTGTTACTTTTTATTAATTTTAATTGTAGTTTCTATCTTCACCTGTAAATTGGGTCTATCCCGTTGGATATTGTAAAAATAAATAAATAAAATGTTTATTTAAATGGCCAGTTGCCTAACTTACAGTTTAGCTTGGAGTTCCGCAAGGATTGGTGTTAGGACCACTCCTTTTTATTATTTACCTGAATGACATATTTCAGGAAAATTAGTGCGCATCTGTATAAGCATCGTTCGCAAATAAGTCACATATGAGATATTCGTAAGGACAGAGAGTATGTTTTTAGATCGGGAATTTTAACAGAAAGTATCTCGGCAAACGCTAGAGCTAGGAAGATACGGTTGGCGGCATTCAATTTATCACTAAGAGCTTTTCTTTTTTATGTGCTTTGTCAATTTTTGTATATTTAGCAGCTTGAGACGCTAATTAAACTTAACCTTAATCCCGATTTTTTTGTTACAGCCGTGCCAGATGGCGCCAAAAAGAAACAAGACGAAGAAGAAGACGACATCATATCCAAAGCGATAGGAGAATTCGGCAAATGGCAGCTGATGCACACGTTTCTTCTTTCCCTCTTCAATATGCCGTGCACGTTTCACATTTTCGCGCCCACTTTCCACGTGGGCGAAAAGAGGAACGCATGGTGCGCGCGCCCCGAGACTTTTCGAAGTGCTAGTGTTAGTGAATGGATGAACTGCACCGGGCAGAACGAGACCAATTTTTGTACTATGTATGACGTCACGGGGTATAATATAACCACGTTGTGTAGTGCGAATGTTAGCGAGCTAGGTGTGATGAAGTGTACTGACTGGGAGTTCGCAGGTCAAGGTTAGTATCAACCGGCGGCAGTCTCTATATTTTCACTGGAGGATGCACAATGGACCCGGTGAGGTCTAAGTGCTGTATAGACGCAAGCCTTACAGTTGCAGATATGGTCTGTTTGACAGTTTCCTTGGAAACCGCGAAAAATCTTGAAAAATCGCACGAAAATCGTCCAAACGTCCTATGAGTCCCTTTTCCGAGATTTGGGTGCATTATGGAAGTGAGTTTGCATAAACGGTAGACGCTCAAGACATCGTAGTCGGCTCGAATGAAGTTCTTTTTCGTCTCCCGTCAGCTGTCACTTTTTTATGACGTTTTGAAAATTTCTTTATCCTTTTTCGACGGTTTATTACAAATGAATAATTTTTTTAAACACCGTTTGCCACTCTTTAACTCACCACACACACGGATTTTTGTCGGGCGCCATTTTTTTTTTTCGGATAAATTTTGTATGAGAGATTTCCGGACGAAACATCCCGTCAGCGCCCCCGAAGGGGTCGCTGCACAATATTTAATTACTTTTTATATGTTTTCATCATGTCCGCGACCTCTACCAATTCTATCGAAATATTTCCCTTTACCTCTTCTTTTTTTTAAGAGGAAGTAAAGGTGATACGACTTTTACTTCTTTTCTGGACGGACCCATGGATTGATTCATATTGTAAATATTAAATTATTTTCACTCTGAAAATCTCGAATAAGGTTAAGTTTCTCAAATCGCTGAAATAGAATTTTTCATGTAAAAAAGATTATGAAATCGATAGAATTACATGTAAATGTCATCAACTTACCGTTTTTATGCTTTGAATGTGTCAATTAATTAAATTATATCCACTTCAAAAACCAGGGTTTGAGTAGGCTGGGTTAAAATTCTTCAAATCGAAGACAAATAAATATTTTCCCGAAAAAAAGATCATGAAATCAATAAAGGAACATATAAACTTTATTACCTTGCCATCCATATGCTCTAATATGTTAAATAATTAAATTGTTTTAATTTTAAAATTATGCTTTAATAATTTCTATGACCCCTGTGTTATTCTTATGGACATTAATGACAGTTGACAGTCTGGTTCTTCTGTTGGCATCCAGTGCTATGACCTTCCTCAACCTGTGACATTTTCACTAAACACGCGTGTTATCGACTGTCGGCGTCCTTTTAATACGCACCCTTACTTCAAAAATGACACAACTCAAAATTCACTTTTTTAATAATACTATGAATCTGATTAGCAAACAACCTTACACCATTCATAAAAATTATTTTAGCTTAGCTTAAAATTGACTCGTCTAAACTGCGCCTGTTTATTTTTGAGGTTTTGATGTAGGGTTGTTGACTAATCAAATTTATGGTATTAAATCAGAAGATGTTAATTTTGAGTTGTGTCACTTTTGAAGCAAGGGTGTGATATCTTAATTTTATACATTTTAAGGAACACTTTTTGTATAAAGAGATAGTTCTCCATAATGATAATCCGTAATGGATATGTCATGAAAAGTTAAATTATCATTAACTTTATGTATTAAAATCCAAGTGATTACTTTAAAAACCCGAAACGAACTGAGCTCCGCTCTTCCATTCACTGCGCATATGACCTTGGCATCTTAAGCTATATCTGTCGTACTGTAAGCAATGCAGTAACTCCTAATAACATGAAAGTAGTGTATTCCTATCTTTTCAGGTAGAAGCATAATCGCGGATTTTAATTTGGTCTGCGACAGAGGCGGTTTGCAAAATTTCGGAGAAATGATGTTTCTCGCAGGAGTCGCAATCGGTGGCCTGGTCAGCGGGATCGTTTCCGACAAATATGGAAGAAAAAGGACTTTGATGACTTCCGTGACATTACAGACAATCTTAGGTGAGTATAGAGTCTTTCAAAAAGAACTTATTTGGAATAAGTACGGTCTATTTAAAGCATGTATAGAAACAAGCGGTTACTAAGGCCTTGTCCAATGAAAGAGAGTGGAATGGAAAGCATTGAAGGCACTGGCAGATCAAAATTGGTTGCCTGCTGTTTAAGGATTAAAAAAAAATGACAAAAAAACTTGGCGTATGGGGTTTAATAATAGCTAGGTGCGATGTAAGAGCTAATGGCACACAATCAGCAAACGGGATAATCTTGGTAGAATCTTGGACAATCACTTTTTGGACCTCTTCTGGATGATCCAAGAATCTAGTACACATTCAAAGGTGATAAAACGGGGTACTATATTATACATTTGAAATCGAATAAATATTACCCTATTGCTCTTTTTATTTAAAAACTTTTCTCTATTAAAATGTAGGATATTTATATTTCGATTTTACTTAATTTCAGGTATCTTAATCGCTTTTAGTCCTTGGTTCCTTTCCTACGTCATCCTCAGAGCTCTCTTGGGTTTCATATCCGTGTCAGTCGTTTTCAGTGGCTTCGTGCTATCCATCGAACTTGTCGGCGGTAAATGGAGGACTGTGACAGGCATTTCTTACCTTTTCCCCGTATCTATAAGCTACGTAACAATATCGGGGATCGGTTGGTTGTTGAGAGACTGGAGGCATTTTCAATTGGCTATATCTTTACCAGGACTTCTATATATTATACTATGGTAAGTGAATAGACTGGTACAATAATGATGTCCTACGAAATCTGTTAGACATCCTGCATGGTTTATAGATAAATTATCTTCTAGGTGGGTACTTCCAGAATCGCCAAGATGGCTTCTCGCCCGAGGAAGAACCAAGGAAGTCTTGATTATTTGCGAGAAAGCCGCGAAGTTCAATAACAAACAACTGTTTCCTAATCTCGATAAGCAACTCCAACCGGAAACAAATGCTGGTCCTATAGAAGATGTTTCGGTATTCGACCTCTTCAGGACTCCACTAATGAGAAAGAAAACATTCTGTCAATTCATAATATGGTTCAGTGTGTACTTGGTGTATTATGGTTTAGTTCTTAATCTTGGGAATATTGGCGGAAATTTGTATGTCAACTCCGTAAGTATTTAGTACTAATTTTATTCGGTAGGTACCAGGTGACTTAATAAGAATTGCTCCTAAACACAAATCTAAACTTTGCAACAGAGATGAAGTTTCTAGATATCTCACCTTTGACAGCAAGTTAACATGAATATTTACATCAAGGAGATTGCTCTGATAACAGTGACATGACTCCACACGGTTCGAATAGAACCTGATGTAGGATTCGGCGAGGCGAGACATCGCTTCAAGCATCTCACCAAAATGTATCTTCCTTAAGCCCTATAAAGTTATAAAATAACAAAGAGAAGAGCTGGAAGTGGCAGATACGATTTGTATCTACACCAACAGTTCTAAAACAAGGCTCAGGATGTGGAATATAATCCAGATCCATTAACCTAAACATCAAATGGACTGTGAGCAATAGTGCCAGTGTAGTTTAAACCGAGCTCGGGAATTCTCACAGAAGTGTAAGAAATTATCAGAAACAATATCACTGAAAGGAACATACTCAGGGATAATACTAGAAAGTCATGAAGCTTTGGTCAAAGTATCCATCAACAATTTAGACACTCAAAGAAGGATCATAGGTCACGCCACATCCAAAGGTAACCATCTGGCTGATTCAAAAGCCAACAAGACAGCCAACCAAACACTTTTTAAACCTAGCCCTTCTATTGGATTGACAACATCGGTAGTGGCAAACCAACAATTAAGGAAATTTAAGGAAAGAAGCTGCAGAGTTGCCAGGGAGCTTTTAAGTTAACTTGACAACAGTGTGGCAAACAAATACTAAATGTTCAAATCGTCGTCTATCATTTTCGATGCAAGCTCTCATTCTGTAACGAGTAGAATAAATGGCATTCTGAAATTCTGAAATACTTTGAATATATGATATAATTTGAGTATTATATCCACCATATCTGAAATGGGTCTAAGTGCAAAAACAATATCTCTTATTTATCCCCACAAAGTCAAGTCTTATGTTTGTATAATCTAACTTTATGATACATTGTTTCAGGCCCTGCAAGGCGTAGTCGAAATCCCAGCCATAGCCATCAGCATCTACTTCCTCCTTAAAAAAGGTAGAAGATTTCCTGCCTCCTTTTCCATGATCATATCCGGCATAGCTTGCGTTCTCACCCTACCAATCTATTTCATCAACGCTGATCTGCAGTGGGTCATGACATCTTTAACTATGATCAGCAAATTCTGTATCAGTTCATCTAACGTAATCATGCCGGTCTTCGCAGCTGAACTGTACCCCACCACCATCAGAAACATAGGAGTTGGTGCTGCCAACGTGACGGCTGGAATCGCTTTGATGTTGGTGCCCTATCTTTGGCTGCTGGTAAGGTTCTTTATCTATATCCCATATTCCATTCTAAACATAAATGTTTACAGGCTGAATATCATCCGAGTTTGCCAATGACAGCTCTCGCGCTCTGCGGGATACTCGGTGGACTTTGCGTCCTCTTACTTCCAGAAACCAAGGGCGTACCTCTAATCAGCACCATCAGAGAAGAACAGCAAAACAGAAAAATGTCTATGTCTGAAGTACGACCCAAGAAAAAAATAAACAATAACTGTTCGGGATAGCGTTTATTTCATGAGGAACGATACGAATACTCTCTAGTATAAATGGTGGTGTATTGTGGCCCCGAAGCAGAACTCTGAGGCACAACTACCCGAAATATATATGTAGTGATCGCTGTTTAAAGCTTTCAGTGTTGTAAATAAGGCGTTTTGTACTTAAAATTTATTTATACAGATAATATGTAAATTATAAATAGTTATTAGTTGATTCAGAAAAAAAAACGTTAAGTACTTGATTGATAAAATAAAACGGCTAATCGTGAAAAGATTAGAAGGTAGGTTGATAAAAAAATTTAAGTCCTACGGTTAGTATATCGGAAAGGTTAGTCCTCTCACATGTTTATATACAATGTGTTTCAAAAAGTTTGGAAAACTTTTACTGTCAATTTCTCAAAAACGTTATATGGAACACATATATTGCAATTAAATAATTCCAAAAATATCTGGTTGACCCTTATTTTCGAAAAATGACAAATTGATTTAAAAAGTTGTTCAAGAACCGAAAGTTATTTTCAAATACAAAATCACAGCTTTCTATTTCAAACTTGTTATTTTTCCATAGATTTGACCACGATTAAAATAGTTTTTCACACTTGAAGTATTCAAAGTATGTGTAATTGAAAAAAAGGACTGTATTTTATATAAATGACGTTCCGTTCTTTAATAGAATCATTAGAACTGTACAAGAACAAATAGATTAAGAAAACATTTTTATTTATGATTACCTACCAACAAAAATGTAATAAAACTAAGAAAAAAAGAACAAAGAAAAATGTATGTAAATAAAAATATCCAAAAACAAATAGTGAATTTTCTTCTATTCCTTTCTTTAACTTTTTGGCACTGAATTTCCTTGGTTGAGGTTACGTCTTCAATTTCTTTTGTAGCCATTACCTTAATTATGCATTTTTTGTATTACTTTTCATAACCTTGGACTCCTGATCAGAGTTTCTACAGATTGGATATAGTGTAAAACTATAAAGAGCAACAGAAAGAAGCCTATTCATATGAAGCCAGAATAAGAGAGAGAAAGCAGAAGTAGGGCGTGGGCAATTCCACTATTCTTTGCGATGCCGAAGACCGATCTCATCCGTTTGCTCCGACTGCAAACCAAATGAAATCAGTCTAGACCAGATCGAGTCCATACCGCGTGTAGGTTAAACAAATAATTCTGATTTTCGTTTTAAAATAACCAAATATTAATATGAGGAACGTTATTTATACCACTCGTCAAAGTTGGGTCTGATACAGGAAAAAAGTATCCGAGTACCGGATACGGATACTTACAATGTATCCGGATACTTTTTAGGATACTTTCACCTAAAAAGTACTCGGATACAAGTATCCGGATACTTTTTTCGGATACTTTAAAGAATACTTTTACGGATACTTTTAAAGTGAGTTAAAATAATGTTTTCATACCAATAGTTATAATTATGCAATAAGATTGATTACGAGTAACAATAAACAATACTAGGCATAAATAAATGATCGAAAATGGAAAGCGATATAATAGAAACAGAAAAAATACTACTCAATAAATTGTTTATTATTGTTATTCTGTGAATATAAAACATTAAAACAAAATGAACAATAAAATATAAAGATGCGTGTAAATAAAACGAGTCACGACTGAACCGCGCCAAAAACCAGCCAGTGTCGTGTCCATATAAATCTAACGAAATAAGCTCGTTGTCGGCGAGACTTTCCATGTCTATACAACCTTTCGATATTCTCGTCAGTGTCAGATGTATTTGACAATCCATTTTTTATGGATCCTCTGACGAGCGGTACTTGGTAGAGTCGAAAGGAGGAGGAGTGAGAGATTGCTGAAAGTTTCGTTCTGGCATAGGCAAAGCAGGCTCGTATATTTGATCTTGTCAGATCTGTATACTTTATTGATGTTGATGACGACATAAATAACACATGATAAGTAACATTATAAGCAACAACGTCATACATGTATTTACTCGACTACATTTTAAGAACTAATAATGTAATTAGACATTTTACAAAACAAAAAATTCGAGGTACCTACACCTGATTACCTTTGCATATAGCTAGGCACTAAAACTGATACAGAAAGTTTAGTTATATTACACTATATAAAAACACAGGAACAACCGTCTCTTGTCTTTGCCAGCTGAAACATAACTGGGCTAATGGAACCTCCACAAGTACGTCACGCTAACACCGGACAAGAGTTTGCAGGATTTTGCCTGTAAAAACGTGCCGCAAGATGCTGAATCCCGACCGTCTGTATACTGGGTGAATCGTCGAATATATCCTTGGCGATGAAAAATTTTTTTTTGCGTTATTTTAAATACACCAAACAAAACTACAAATGATAATATAATAATTATTTTACTATTTTTTATTTTAAGTCGTTACCTATTGCAATTGTGTCTTAAATATTGTAATATTGAAAAATACGTATTTTATTTCTAATTATACAGTATCCGGATACTTACAAATTTGGTCACGGATACGGATACCGGATAAAAAATTTGAAAAGTATCCGGATGCAGCTTTCGGATACACATAAAGTATCCGGATACAGAGGTATCCGGATACTACCCAACTCTGCCACTCGTGAAAAAATACAAATAGTGAACTGGTAGTACTGGGAATATTCCGTTCCAAATATTATAAAATTATTTGCAGTTGCATTTGAAAATGGACCAATTCCTATGGATAAGCAGTTCGTGTAATTATAGCAAAATTTGATCATTTTGGCAGCGTTATTAATTGTAAAAAGTGTTGTTCCTCTAGGCAACTACGTCGAAATCAATTGACGGAAGAACAAGAAATTAGGTGAATGCAAGTCTGTGCTACACCGTCTTCAAGTAGACAAATTGCTGCTGAAGTTGACGTGAAAGAGAGACGGGTACGAACTATTTAAAAAAAAAAGTTTTTCTACTTTAAGGTACAGACCACTCAAGAAATTTTTCAGGGTAACATGAATGCCCAGAAATGTTTAAAACTACTTGAAAATGAAATTATTCCTGCCGTCAGAAGCCTTTAGGTGCACTTCAATGACATTTGGTTCCAACAAGACGGTTGTACATCACATAATCCATAGACTACGTACATAAATGAATTATTGTCTGACCGAGTTAATGCTACCAGAGACACTATAAAATTGCCACTACGGTCGTCAGATTTAGCACCGCTTGATTTTAATTTTTGGGGAATGCTTAAAAGCGCAATTTATACAGGTTTGAGTTCAAACGAGCTACCAACTTGAATGAATTACGTCAAAAAATTATAAAGTTCAGTGCTCAGATCACACCTGAGCAACTTAATGTTATAATAATAGAATTGTATAAAAGATTTGATTTTTGTTTAGCCCAAGCTGGTGGTTTGTTCGAAACACTCTTGCATTAATTGTTTTTTATTTGACAAGAATGTTTAATTTTGAGGTATTTTTTTAATTTTTAGTAAAGTTATTTGTTTATTTTCTTGCCAAAATTATTGTTTTATTTTTCATGTCTGCTATGGCAGAAAATCAAATAAATAAGTTGGGGGATAAGATATTATTTTAAAACATAAAATAATATCGTAAAATACTCCTGCAACTGCTACATTTATGTGTACATTCCAACGCGTATTGTACATTACTGAACTTAATAAAATAAAATTCACATCTTAGGTGTGCTGGGACGAACGACTCCAAACTACTCAATCCATTACAAAGTGGGATGTAGCGCGTACTCACTTTTTATGATACTGACGCTGTTCCTCTTGTTAATTCGCAATACCCAAGAAAATTTTAAGCTGAATCTATAATTTTTTCTTTGCTAATTTCCTTATTAATATCTATTTTTAATGTCTTTCTTCTATTTTCTGTTTTTAGGCATGCTTGGGGTTTCTTCTTCTTTGGACTACCCCTAGATAAATAAATTGTTTAAATGCACGGTACTGGTAACAAGTTTAGTTCCTCAGCATACTATTTGGAGCTACCATCGCAATAAGATACCATACTATTGCATATACTATTGCTGGAATATTTTAAAAAGAGGTTTGACAACTATGTTGACAACCTGGTAAAAATGAAAAACAGAATGGCGGAAAGCGAAATGGGCGAATTACAATTAAATAAAAGCATAATAAAGATTATTTTCATAATATATCCCCTCAAAGGATATATTGAGATTATTTTATGATTATGATGTAAGTTCCATAGGGTTATTTTTAGGTTAAGAAGATTCATGAGTGCTGGTTTGATGTAATTAGTAAGTATTAACAATTTATTTTAATATTAGCTGTTAGATTTGTTTAAGGACTTTTTTTAACATTGTTTTCAATTCTTTTTGAATATATTTTTAACAATAACAAAACATGTCTGGGCTGGAACTCTGTGTCATATAGAATTCTACTTATCGTTTTCTACAATAGATTCTTTTGTGGCACTCTGTGTAACATGGCGGAAAACCAACGAGTATATACTTACTACAGGATAACTAGTTTCATAAGAAACCACATTGCGATATTTCCCGTGCGGTTGATAACGTAGTCCACAAAAGAAAGTAATCGATTTCTATTGTAGAAAGCGATAAGTAGAATTCTACATGACACAGAGTTCCAGCCCTGGCCCGGGTAAAGCGTCGAAAGGTAAAGCTAAGTATGCTTGTTTAGCTCATAATTGTTTAACTAAGTATTCTAATATTCAAGCTGGGTATTCAAATACAACCTTTTTTCCTTTTCAACTGGTTTAAGAATTTAAATTTAACTTTAGATAATAAAACTTGGTATCTTTGTGAAGATCATTTTTTGTCAGTCTTTTAGCAAAATTGCCCTAAAACGTAAACGACTAATTGCAAATTTTGTACCAATTTTATTAGATAATAGTACATTCAGTTTAACTATACCCAACTATACTCAACCCGAGAGTCAGATTTTAAAAAATGTTGAGGCTGAAAAACATACTCAGCAACATAAAATAGATTTGATTACGTATCCACAAAGAAAAACAAGAAATGAGTTGCAAACGTTAACTCAGTATTAGTGATAAACAATTTGAACAACTCTCAAAACGAAGAAAAACTATTTTGAAATAAATAAATGAAAGTAGAGTCAAAAATTTTACTTCTAAAGAGAAAAAGCTTAATTTTATTATTAGAAAACAAAATATTAGAGTTTGTAAGCTAGAGAAAGTTCCTAGTGTTTCCAAAAATATACGAATTTTAGACAAAAAATAAGAATAATAACATTTTGATAAGTAAGAAAAATTGACATCTAACGAAATTTGGTTAATTTTTCCAAGAATAAGAGGAGACTACTATTAATTTCACTTACAATTATTGTTATTTAACATTGAGTACATGTTATGTATGTAAGAAACGTTTAAATGCACCTTACTTGTATTAAATGATTAAATTATACCTGTGTTTCAAATATTTTAATATAAATATTTCTTTATTTATATTTTTGGAGTTTTATTACTTTAACAAACTAATATTTATGTTAAATACAATACAATTTAAATATTAGTTTTTTTTTAGATTAATAAAGGCCAAAAAAATGTAAATAAATAATAAAGGACATTTGAATCAACCGCGGGTACGCTTTACAATCTTTTTATTTTCTTCTTCTCTGCTGCCTTTAACTGTCAAGCCAATCAGCCAATTGTGTAATGTGCGATGATGGCTCCAAATAATATACTTGTTACCAGTGCAGTGCATTTAAACAGTTTATCTTATCTATGGGACTACCTGCACTCCCTGTTAAGCTTTATGTTCATTTTCTGGAGGTATTTTGCAAAGTTTCCATAGCCAGAAAGAAATTGGGTTAG